TCATTATATGCAAAACAAACAAAAAAAAACGTGCTAACTTTTTTATATTATAAATGTTGCATCAAACCAGAACTGAAAATAATATTTAAACTAAATATTTTATTTATTAAGAATTAATTTTAGTTGACAGATTTAAGTTTATATTCATCTGTATATGTGTTATAACAATTATATTTCTGGTATTAAAAAAGTTAAGACAATAAGAAAATAAATTTTTCATAACAACAAATGAGTGGTTTTATTTTTGTGATGAATTTATTAATAAAAGGTATTACTGTAATACCAATTTTGCATTGATGATAAAAACAAAATATAATAATAATAATAATAATAATAATAATAATAATAATAATAATAATAATAATAATAATAATAATAATAATAATAATAATAATAATAATAATAATAATAATAATAATAATAATAATAATAATAATAATAATAATAATAATAATAATAATAATAATAATAATTATAAAATTAAAAATTATTTACTTAATTATGTCCAGTTAAGGTGTTCTAATGTATTTTTCTTCTAGAATTGTAATCAGCATAAACAAAAAAGCAGAACAAGGCGAATGGTATCTGGACATTAGTTCTAATAGACATTGGTACTAACCCTGGGTAAAAATACTTTGAAACACTTTAGAAAAAAAACTTCTTCCCAAAAGTGATTTTAAAAAAAACAACAAAAAAATTATTTTTTACTTTTTGCTTTTGCTGTTTTCAATTTTTTAAATAATGAACTGTTGTATGGTTTTTTTACGATGCACCACATTTTTTATCTGCTTCGGGTTTCTTTGGCTTCTTTTCGAGGTTAATTTTTGTTTTCGTGTTCTTTACTGTCACAACATTTTTGGGTTTATCTTCTTCACATTCTATATGTATTATATCCATTTCAAGTAAATTGGGCACTTGATTTTCGTCTTTGGCTGATAGTTTACAATTGAGATTCAATAAAGGCTGATTATCTCGAGGTTGAATTATACTACAATCCGTAATACACGAAGAAGTTGTTTGATTTAAAACATTTAATGAAGTAAATTCCGTTTCCGTTTCCATGTCTAATGGCACAACTTGATTATTATCTATTTGTGAACCTTCTTCATCAAAAATGCAATGTTGTTGTTCTTCAACGATTTTCTTAATTTCTTTTTTCATTTTTTTTCCACGCAAAACCGAATTATAAGAATTGTTAACACGCGCAGATTGGACATTCAAATTGTAACTGATGTATAACAAAGAAATTGAATCCAAATAAGTCACATTCGACTGATATTTTTTTTCGGTATAATTATTCATGGATATGAATGGTTTACGTTAAGGATCAGTGACATTCTTTTTGTATTGTTTTATAACATTACCGGTTATCATGTTATTCCATTTCATTTTAGTTTTATGTTCAATTTTCCTGAGGATGTCAATTAAAACCAACAACTTAGGATGTGCTACAGTTACAAGGAATCCAACTCCATTATGAAATCCTTCTGAATAGTTATTAGTTCTGTTATTTTCATTAAACTGACACCAGAATTGACAACCAACTTTTTCCAACCAAAAACGTCGAAAGTATATTAACAAATCTTCAAATTGTGATTTTACTTTTTCTCCGACTCCGTATGGTGATGATAATGCCATCTGTTCAAAACACGTTTTAAATGTATTTTCTATCTCATTTTCTGGTAGAAATGGAAGTGAAAATAGTCTGCGTATCCATGTATGCAATATTGGATCTTTTTGGTATAATGCAGACAACCCAACTTTACCAGTCATTCTGTAAACTCCTTGATTCATATGAAACAAGAATATTTTAACGTCACATTTAAATACATTTTTATATGCATTCATTGCAGCAAATTGGCAATCGGTGTGAGCAATTTTTAATTGTGGAAACAGATTGTAAATTTTAGTAAAAGAGTAAATGAAGGTTTGTGTTTTTTCATTTGGTAACAAATTGAAACATACCGGAAAAACGCCGTCTTCGATCAATGCATGAATTGTATAAATACAACTAACACCATTTGGAGTAATTCTATATGTACCATCAGAAAAAATTTCTGTTGTGTTCGAAGCCATGTGTCTTTGGTTTGAAGAAGTAAAAATTAAAATTCTTGGAATAGTTGTGTCTAAGGTATTAGAGTCAAAATTTAAAAACGAGTTGTCAATGTTAGTTTCAGATCTTGGTTCTATAGTAACTTTTAGAATCTCTGGTATTGTAGTTTCTTGGTAAGAATGTTTATTAGTTCCCAAAATTTTATCTTGTAAACGACTTGCATATTTAACACATGCTTCAATATCTTTTTTTAGATGCTTTGTCACAATCAGGTAGCAAAACTATTTTGTTGATCAGTTGTCTTATGTTTTGAGTAACATTTAAATCAAGCTCATTGTTAATAATTTGTCTGCGACATCTTGCACGATACAACTCTTCATGATCTATAAACAAGTTTGAGAACCTTCAATTTTAAAAGTGTTGTTATCTGTTATTATAACAAAAACTTTACAACCATCTCTACTGCATTTATATACAACACAACCATCTTTTGCTTTTCTGTTAAAAGCATAACATTTTCTATCAACCGATAAAAGTGGATGCACAACTTAATTTTTTCTTGGTTCACTTCTGTTTTCAAAATAACGCAACGAATAATTTTGCATGTAAATATTAAGTTTTTTAATTTTAAAATTTATTCTGAAAAAGTTATTAAATTTAATAATGAATTAAAATAAAATTGTTGTTCTATTTTAAAAAATCACTTTTGGGAAGAAGTTTTTTTCTAAAGTGTTTCAAATTATTTTCACTCAGGGTTAGTACCAATGTCTATTAGAACCAATGTCTAGGAATCGGGCGAATGGTAAAAACAAAAACAATGCCAAGTACCATCTAACATATTCCATACACCAAAACAATAAATCGAAATACCCAATGAACATGTTTCCAACCAACGAAATAGTATTCGTTCCAATTCTTTGTTATCCGTCTTATCCAGTTGTATAAATATGAAATATAGAAATTTTGAGTGTGTGTAGTAATACAATTTTTCTGCGAATTTGTTTTTATCATTGTTTTGAGCACCAACAACATTGGTCAACAAAAAACAAATTCCAAGTGATGACACGACAAATAATGTTATGATAATCACATTGGTCACATACACACCACCATAACCAAAGACTCCTACATACATTGTCAAAATACAAGTAAACGGCGTTTTCTCTAATTTTGAATTGTATTTATCATTCAGAATCATACACAAAATAAACAACACTAAACAGACAATGAAAATAATTGCTTCATATTCAAACAGTAAGACAAAGTGAAAATAGTTTAATTCATTTACATGATGAAAACGTAACAAAATTGATATTAAATCTAATACAAAATTTATAATAACACATAGTGGTAATATGAATAACAATAAAAAGTGGTAACTGTCAGATTCAGTGTTAGTTAACACTAATTTATCAATCAACTGAGTTGGCACACGTGCCAGATTTATCTTGTACGCGGTTTTAACGTTCTTCAGTTCATTAACATTTTCAATAGTATCAAGCTTTCCTGCAAACACAATTTCTTCCACGTTATGTGGGAGAACAACTTTAACATTGTTAATTGTGACTTTTCTTGAACATTCAAAAATTGAATAATTTCCGTCACAATTTAAATATAATTCTGATGGGTAATACAGTCGTTGATACAACTCTTTTGCACTTTCATTGTCGTCTTCTTCAATACAACACAAATGTTTCCAAATTGAATTGTATAAACAAACGCCATATTTTCCTCCAACAACAAAAGTCGTATTTGGAAATGTTTTCAGTGCATTTTCCATCACATTGATTGCCGTCATTTTATAATTTTTAATTAAAATGACAATTTTGATTTCTTCGGGTATTTTCAGTTTCTTAAGTTTGTTGATTGTGTTCACGTCAAATGTACTTTTTATTGACAAAGACACAATTAATAATTTTAAATGTGGATATTTTTCTTTGTTAATTTTCATGTTACACAAAATAGAAAAATTGTTAATTACCATTTTTGAGACTTTTGAAGTGTTTGTTGTTGTATTAGTTGAATTGCATAACAATTTCAATTCATCGTATTTATTTGAAAGTGAATATTCATCGTAATAGAAATAACGATACAAGCTATTGAACGATAAATTAGAAAAAACACAATTAGTGTAATTTACTTGTGTCACTTTTTTGAAACCCACATTACAAGTCACACGACAGAGTTTTGAAATCGTCAAAGTTTCGATGTTTGGTAGAATATGATTTATTGTGTGAAAAGACTGTGTTAAATTGTTCGAATCTGAAACAGTCCATGGGTTGGTTTTCATCATAAAGCAACTTTTGAAAGTTGATGGAAATTCGAAGGTAAAGAATAACATTCATCAAATAAACTGGTTCTAATTTTTTCATGTCAAAATTTTCAGATCATGGTTTTTAAGTTTTAAAATTATAATTTAAATTAAATTAAAGTCATTTTTCAAACTCATTATATACTATCTTATAACCATTTAAAAAAATTAAAAAGTTTTTCACATTAATTTCGTTAAAGCCTTATTCTACACATAGTATAAACTGTATTTTAAAAGCCAGTACCTCCATTATTTAGAACTTCCAAAAGTCCCTTTTATTATTTTTAATTTATCCTAAAATTTCTTCAAGTAAAAAAATTTTGAAAAAAGTTTTTCTTTTTTTTGAAAAAAAATGGTCTAATTTTTAACTAAAAAAATACAAAAAACTAACAGAAAAAATAGGATATCCAAGTAAAGATCTTCTCAGAACAGTATTTATTACACTGTTACTAAAAGACTTTATTTATTTCGACAATATTTAAACAATAAAATTTCTTAATTAATTAATTAATTAAAAAATTGAATGTAAATACTTTGAAAAATTCAAAAAATATACAAAGTCCATTTAATAACAAAACAATAGTAACATTACTTAACATATATAACAACAAAAATTCAAAATCTAAAAACAACCAAATGCCAATTCGCCTTGATCGTTACTATGTTATGATCATTTCTAAATATCTCAAAGACGTTGGGGACTTCATTAAGTTGGTCCACGTCTGCAAAAAGTTTGCTGAAATACCCGCCATGTTTCACTATAATCCAGTTTCTATGAAAGGCAAAAACAAGTTCTTTTCGAATATTGAAACTCTTCATTTGTATTCCAAATATGATGAAGACGATGACAGATATACCAAATGTGTATATGAATATATATTATCATACTCAAAGTATCTTGAGCTCAAATCCGATCGTTCTAAGTTCAAAAAAGTTCGATACACAAACGCCGATTATTTAAAATACAAAACTTTTGAAGGAGCTACAATACTTTCTAATGGGTGTTTCAGTTTTAAATTTCTATCTTCAACTCAGCAAATATTTGACATGCACAATATACTCTCATTTGGTACACAATGTTTTTATAAGAACACTTCCCTTCAAGAAATTCATTTAGACAAACGCCTTACGGTACTTCCATCTGAATGTTTTAGTGAATGTAAGAACCTTAAAGAGATTGACCTTTTCTATGTGACAAATATTGGTGAAAAATGCTTTGAAGAGTGTTCGAAATTGTCTTCCATCATTCTTGCAAAATCATTGGATAACATCGGATCAAATGCATTTTTACATTGTTACAACATCAAAAATGTGACGACAAATGGTTTTAAAAAATTGAACACTTTGATCAACTTATCGAGTTTTGAAGCATTTAAAACTCTGAATCCCTCTATTTCATTGTCATTTTATGACGTTTTTCATTGGAAGAATTCACAAAACGCTTTGTTTGAGTATCCTATTTCACAGATAGAAAGCCAGGCGTTTTTAATAATGGTATAATTAATGAAGGAAGTATTCCAAATACTTTAACATACATTGAATCCAACAATTTAGATTGTATAAAAATACCAAATATGGACTTGCGAAACGTCAGTTTTATTGGTGAATTCAATAACTATAATTATACGGTCACTGCAATTACTATATCATCACAAATACAATTTAAGTGTTTGTATAAACTTCAAAATTTGAATAAAATTGAGGTGATTAACAAAAGTGGGACTTCAATCGTCTACGCGACTGCAGCTTGTTATATGCGAGAGATGCTAATAAACCAAAATGTAGAGAACATCGATCATATCTTTACTGGAAAAGATGCAGAAATTTTCAATGGAAAAGTCCCCAGTTTTTGTAAACATGTCGATAGATACGCATTTGTAGGTAAGCAAATAACTAATATTGAAATCCACGAAAACGTATATACCCAATTTGAAATAACAAATTGTCAAAAGCTTGAAAAAGTTGTTATTCTAAATTCTCTGTATCAAGAGTTTTGTATACAAATAGTTCATTGTGATCGATTGAAAGAAATTGTTTTCTTAAATGAGTGTAATTTGTTTGTAAAAATGTGCCAAAACTTAACAAAGGTTACTTTTCTTAAAATACCAAAACTGTCTTGCAATAATAGAACCAACTTTGTACGATGTCAAAAGTTGAAAGAAATTGTTATACAAAACGAACCAGAAAATGGAGTTCATAAAGAGGTGGTTAGTGAACAGATATACAATTTTTTGAAAGACAAATACAAGTTTGAAAATGGATGTGTCAAAACAAGAGATTAATTCATTAATTTAACATTGTTGAATATAAACTGTTTTTCAAAAGTCGGTACTGTCATATTTTTAGAACTTCCTAAAGTCCCGTTTTTAATTTTTGTTTTTTCCTAAAAAAACAAAAAACAAAAAATCGAAAGTACCGACTTTATTTTGAAAAAAATACCAATCCCGTTCAATTATTTTCGTACATATTCGGGAAAATATCGGAATATTAGCCATCTTTTTCCAAAAAACCCGATCCCGTTATTTGATTTGACCATAACTCGATACTTCGCAACATATACACAGCATTGTTGACCTAAAAGCACAACAATTAACGTTTAAGTGAATTGGGATGGTGTTGTTTGTGTCGAGTTTTAACTGATAATTACTTTCGTTAAAAAAAATATTTTCAATTAAAAACAAACATGTGGTTATCTTCTCTGAATAAAAAATAATGAAATAAAGAGTTCCAAAAACACCAAAAATTACAGCAAATGTTTGATAATTTTGACAGGCATAAGTCAAAATTGTCAAAGGGCAACACTAGAAAAATAATACAAAATAACAATAATGTTTTGTTATTGGATATTTTAAAAATGATGTTCTTACTAAATGCTCAAAAAGAATGTCGACTTTATAAAACCCAACAAAGATAAGTTATCAAATCATTTTGTTATTTTTATTGTTTTTGTGACAACACTACTAAGCATACTAATCTTCGAACTAAGCTTTTGTTTTGTGAATATTTCATTAATTAATAAATGTTTGATAATGAAAAAGATTGATATTAAGTTTATTTGCTTTTGTACTAAAATGCACTTTTGGGATAATTCTTGTGTTTTTATGAAACAAAAATCCCGTTATTTCGAATTTTATATGGAATTTTTTAATGCTTAAAAATTCTTCAAGTAAAAAAATATTTTTTGAAGACTGTTTTTCTCTTTTTTACTTGGAAAAAATAAGTGATTTTTATTACAAAAAAACGATTCCCAAAAATAACAAACAAAATAAATGCAAAAAATCGGGACACCTCAGTACCGACTTTTGAAAAACAGTTTATTACTTTCTATATAAATAAATTTCATTTTATGTGAGTCAGAGTATTATACTTATAATACATATTTAAACTTTTGTTTTTATATTATTTTAAATTTTTTTGTATTTAATTGTTTAGTCTCTTCTCACCTTTCTTTTTCATTATTTTTTCCAGATATTTATTTTCTTATTTTTACCAAATAAATGTATTTGCAAAAAGAGTTCCAAACTGATATAAATCATTATTTAATTTAAAATTTTATTAGAAATATTTAACTTTTGGGCTCATTATTTTTATAAGAAAAACAATCTATTATTTTATTAGGGTAAAAGCAAAACAATAATATCGAATAAAACATTACTGAAAATATGTAAATATTTAAAAAACTCACGAAACTACTTTTTAACAACCCATTAGTGCACCAATCCATTCACCCTTTATCCACTCCTTTGGCGCAACTTTTCCAATTAAATTTTGCAAACATAAAACCAATATACGTCAACTCATTACATACAATGAAAGTTGGTGACATGGGGATGCACCCATAGCAACTGAATGTGTACTTTTTTATCATTAAAGTCACTAATAATAGTTCAAAAAATCAGGAATATATTACAGATAGAGTTTTTAGTTGGTGCCAGAAACTAAAGTGGTGCCAAGAAATTGGAGGATTGATTGATATAAAAATTCGGGTTTTAATTTTTTGGTTTTTATTTATTTTTTTGATAATAATTGATATGAAAATAAACGCCAAACTCATTTCGTTTCTTAAAATAATTCTGGCACCCAATAAGTTTTTGGCACTTTGTAAATACTCGATCTGTAAATTGTTGTTCAAAAGCCAGTACCGCAATTATTTAGAACTCTTTAAAGTTTTTTTATTATTTTTGATTTTTTTTAAATCAAAAACTCAAAAATACAGTACAAATTTAAAAAAAACTACATATAGGCAATACGATTTTTTTTGTAAACCTATTAGCATCTCAATTTCCTTAATATTTTATACAGTTCCATCTCCAAATTAGTAATTTGTCTACTTTTTTATTATAAACCAAACAACCCAAACTAAAAATTATTTCAAAATGAATATTATAAATTATTAATTGATATCAAAAAATACAAAAAACAATAAAATGATTTTTATGTGGTTATAAACCAATTAATATCAATTTCAATAAACAAATATTGTTAAAAAAACAAAGCAATAATAACAATTCATTCAAGAATCAGTTGAATTCATTATAGATTTTTATAAGTCTATCTACAACGGTATTAATATTTGGTCTATATTGTGATTCTTGTTTCCACATGTCTTCTATTAAATTATTTATGTCGTCATTATCAATATCAATAGGAAGTCGATTTCCATTTCTAACAAAACCAATAATCTTTGATGGATATTTAAATTGTTTCTCGTTATATGCATTTTTCCATGTTAAACACTCCAAAATGATAATTGCAAATGCAAACACGTCAGAAGCCGTCGTGGGTTTAGAGTCGGTTAATTCCGGTGCCATATAAACTGGTATCCCAGAACCCACTGACGGTTCAAATCCATTATCAACATTTTTCAATAAACAATAAAGATCTTTATAATTGTTAAATACAGTTAACTTTCCATTCACATCGTCTTTAAAATCAAGTGAATTGACAAACACATGAAACGACGACAACTTGCAGTGTACAAATCCAAATTCGTGAAGATACGACAACCCTTTAGCGGTATCCAACATCAATTTTACTTTCATTATAGTGTCGATATCATACGAATTTTTATTTCTCATTAAATCATATAAAGACCCATATTGTGTGAATAAAGGTTCTTCACTGATTTGTTTAGGAAAGAGTACAAAACAATACACCCAAATGATATACGGATTTGGTATATTTGGTCCAATAAAAGAGACTTCTTTTCCAGACTCTTTTATTTGATCAAAATCCTCCAAATTTCCACAGTTGTTGTGATATAAAGAATTGAACGTTTTTAAAGTGGAAGGAAGTTTAATTTGACTCAAATTGGAACACTTGTTGAAACAAAAATCTCCAAGTCTTAAAGTACTTGCTGATAGAGTCACTGCGCACAAACTAGTACATTCGTTGAAACAAAAATTACCAATAGAGACGACACTGTATGGAATTGAAACACTTGTTAGACTGAAACACTTATCGAAAGAGTGATTACCAACAGTAACAACACTTGAGGGTATAATTACATTACTTAGAAAACTACAATTATTAAAACAGTATTCACCTATTGATGTGACACTCGGCGGAATAACAATATTGCGAATTTTTTCACAGTTAGAATAGCAGTTTTCATAAAGTGAAGTGACTATTGCTGCTATTTTTTCTGTGTTTTTTGTGCAATCATATGATCGAAATGGTACGTTTTTGTATTGAATTTTTGGGTTGGTATTTTTGCTTGCTGTTTTCACGTCGACTTCAAACCACACGACAATTTTTTGAAACTTATAGTGTTTGGTTGAGTTTTTAAATAGAAAGGAAAGACCTTTGTTCGAAGTTTGAGTTATTGAAATACCAAAGCTCTCATCTTCTGTGCTCCATAAGTTTAATGTTTCGATGTTAGGAAAATAAGCAATCGTTTTCTTTGTTAATGGAATCGGGTTGTAATTGAACTTTTCCATGTTGTCTTGATATTTTTTGCTCACTAACTCTAAATTAACAAAGTCTTGTATGTCTGAAAA